AAAATCTGTGGAGGGAGCTGTAGGTTCAAGTTGCCAAACGTCAGCTTCGAAACTTTAATGACTTGGAGAAGATCTGCAAAGAGGAGTGGAACAAATCCCTCCTGAGATGTGTGCAAACCTGGTGGCCAACTACAAGAAACGTCTGACCTCTGTGATTGCCAACAAGGGTTTTGCCACCAAGTACTAAGTCATGTTTTGCAGAGGGGTCAAATACTTATTTCCCTCATTAAAATGCTAATAAATTTATAACATTTTTGACATGCGTCTTTCTGGATTTTTTTGTTGCTATTCTGTCTCTCACTGTTAAAATAAACCTACCATTAAAATTATAGACTGATCATGTCTTTGTCAGTGGGCAAATGTACAAAATCAGCAGGGGATCAAATACTTATTTCCCTCACTGTATGTCTGGCCCTGGGGCCTTGTGAATGTTAACCTGTTTAAAAGTCTTACATCGGCTACGGAGAGTGTGATCACACAGTCGTTTGGTAGGTTTGTGTCATTGGGCAGCTCGTGGCTGGGTTTCCCTTTGTAATCCGTGATAGTTTGCAAGCCCTGCCACATCCAACGAGCATCAGAGCCGGTGTAGTAGGATTTGATCTTAGTCCTGTATTGACGCTTTGCCTGTTTGATGGTTAGTCGGAGGGCATAGCGGGATTTCTTATAAGAGTCCAGATTCGTGTCCCGCTCCTTGAAAGTGGCAACTCTAGCCTTTAGCTCAGTGCAGATGTTGCCTGTATTCCATGGCTTCTGGTTGGAATATATACGTATGGTCACTGTGGGGACGACTTCGTTGGTGTACTTATTAATGAAGCAGGTGACTGATGTGGTAAACGCCTCAATGCCATCGGATGAATCCCAGAGCATATTCCAGTCTGTGCTAGCAAAACAGTCCTGTAGTTTAGCATCCGCTTCATCAGTCCACATCCGAATTGAGTGTGTCACTGGTACTTCCTGTTTGAGTCTTCTTGTAAGCAGGAATCAGGAGTATAGAGTTATGGTCAGATTTGCCAAATGGGCGGCGAAGGAGAGCTTTGTATGTGTCTCTGTATGTGGAGTAAAGATGATCTAGAGTTTTTTCCCGCTAGTTTCACAGGTGAAATGCTGGTAGAAATTAGGTAAAATGGATTTATTTTCTTGTTGACTTATGGCCCTATATAGCTCGTTGAGTGCGGTCTTAGTGTCAGCATCGGTTTGTGGTGGTAAGTAGAAAGCTACGAAAAAGCTGGTTTGTGCACAAGCTCAAGATTGTGCACCAGCTGTTGTCAACAGACACACATCCCCGCCCTTGAGTTTACGAGAAGCTGCCGTTCTGTCCTGCTGATGCATAGAAAAATCAGCTAGATTCATATGAACCATGTCCTCGATCAGCCACGACTCTGAAAAGTAGCTTGTCTAGTTTGTTCTCCAGTGATTGTACATTCGCCAATAGAACAGAGGGTAGACATGGTTTATTTACTCACCTCTGAAGTTTCATCAGGATGCCCCCATATCTCTGTAGTTTCATCAGGATGCCCCCATGTCGGCCTCTATATCTCTGTAGTTTCATCAGGCTTTCCCCATGTCGGCCTCTATATCTCTGTAGTTTCATCAGGATGCCCCCATGTCGGCCTCTATATCTCTGTAGTTTCATCAGGCTTTCCCCATGTCGGCCTCTATATCTCTGTAGTTTCATCAGGCTTTCCCCACGTCGGCCTCTATATCTCTGTAGTTTCATCAGGCTTTCCCCATGTCGGCCTCTATATCTCTGTAGTTTCATCAGGATGCCCCCATGTCGGCCTCTATATCTCTGTAGTTTCATCAGGCTTTCCCCATGTCGGCCTCTATATCTCTGTAGTTTCATCAGGCTTTCCCCATGTCGGCCTCTATATCTCTGAAGTTTCATCAGGATGCCCCCATTTCTCTGTAGTTTCATCAGGATGCCCCCATGTCGGCCTCTATATCTCTGTAGTTTCATCAGGCTTTCCCCATGTCGGCCTCTATATCTCTGTAGTTTCATCAGGATGCCCCCATGTCGGCCTCTATATCTCTGTAGTTTCATCAGGCTTTCCCCATGTCGGCCTCTATATCTCTGAAGTTTCATCAGGATGCCCCCATGTCGGCCTCTATATCTCTGTAGTTTCATCAGGCTGCCCCCATGTCGGCCTCTATATCTCTGAAGTTTCATCAGGATGCCCCCATTTCTCTGTAGTTTCATCAGGATGCCCCCATGTCGGCCTCTATATCTCTGTAGTTTCATCAGGCTGCCCCCATGTCGGCCTCTATATCTCTGTAGTTTCATCAGGCTGCCCCCATGTCGGCCTCTATATCTCTGTAGTTTCATCAGGCTGCCCCCATGTCGGCCTCTATATCTCTGAAGTTTCATCAGGATGCCCCCATTTCTCTGTAGTTTCATCAGGATGCCCCCATGTCGGCCTCTATATCTCTGTAGTTTCATCAGGCTGCCCCCATGTCGGCCTCTATATCTCTGTCTTTTCCTCTTCCGAGTGTCGGAGATTAGGGCCTGGTCCCGGGTGAGCAGTATGTCCTGCGCGGCTGAGTCATTGAAGTATAATTCTTAATCCAAATCGAGGTTAGTGATCGCTGTTTTGATGTCCAGAAGCTATTTTCGGTCACATGAAACGATGGCGGAAACATTATGTACCAAAAAGATCAGCGCAAAGAACCCCAACACAAAACAGTATAATTGATCAGGAGCCCGTAAAACAGCCACTATATATGCCAGCGCCATATTGTATTTTATTGGTACAATGATAAGGATGTTAGATTAATTCAGTCATTCCTTTTATATGACTGGATACACTAAGATTTTAGCCGAGTATTACAATTCAAGGAAAGAGTTGGAATGTAGAAAAATGCACACGAGGAGACCACACATATTTAGTGAAAAGAAAGTTTACTTGGTAAATAGTATGAGTGCATTCATGCCATTAGATACAGAAACAGCTTATTTTTTATTTTACCAGGCAATGTCAAGTTGAGAGTTAGCAATAATCTGGAAACATGTTGATCAAATTTGGATCAGTTTGATGATGGAACAAACATTGGAATTACACATCCTTTGTAAACCTCTGTTTCTCCACAGATAAATATAGACAAATAGCAACAACTCTGTACAAATGCACCAAATCTGTTGCTGAAAAAAGGTGCTTCATAAAGTATCTATAGTATTTTAGCAGTACAGTCCTTGGCAGTGTTTGAATACTTTGATAATGCATCCTTTACCCTCCCTTCCTTGGCATAAATCCCTAATCTGACATGAATATAATATTTATATACACTACCTTTCAAAAGTTTGGGGTCACTTAGATATTTCCTTGTTTTTAAAAGAAAAGCAAAATTTTTATCCATTAAAATAACATCAAATTGATCAGAAATACAGTGTAGACATTGTTAATGTTGTAAATGACTATTGTAGCTGGAAACTGATGATTTTTAATGGAATATCTACATAGGCATACAGAGGCCCATTATCAGCAACCATCAGTCCTGTGTTCCAATGGCACGTTGTGTTTGCTAATCCAAGTTTATCATTTGAAAAGGCTAATTGATCATTAGAAAACCCTTTTGCTATTATGTTAGCACAGCTGAAAACTGTTGTGCTGATTAAAGAAGCAATAAAACTGGCCTTCTTGAGACTAGTTGAGTATCTGGAGCATCAGCAATTGTGGGTTCATTTACAGGCTCAAAATGGCCAGAAACAAATAACTTTCTTCAGAAACTTGTCAGTCTATTCTTGTTCTGAGAAATGAAGGCTATTCCATGCGAGAAATTGCCAAGAAACTGAAGATCTCGTACAACGCTGTGTACTACTCCCTTCACAGAACAGTGCAAACTGGCTCTAATCAGAATAGAAAGAGGAGTGGGAGGCCCCGGTGCACAACTGAGCAAGAGGACAAATACATTAAGAGTGTCTAGTTTGAGAAACAGGTGCCTCACAGGTCCTCAACTGGCAGCTTCATTAAATAGTACCCGCAAAACACCAGTCTCAATGTCAACAGTGAAGAGGCGACTCCGGGATGCTGACCTTCTAGGCAGAGTTGCAAAGAAAAAGCCAAATCTCAGACTGCCAATCTTAATTTTTTATTTTTATTGGCCAGTCTACGATATGGCTTTTTCTTTGCAACTCTGCCTAGAAAGTCAGCATCCCGGATGAATATACACAATTGCTGATGCTCCAGATACGGCAGGTAGCTTAGTGGTTAAGAGCGTTGTGCCAGTAACCGGAAGGTCACTGGTTCTAATCCCCGAGCCGACTAGGTGAAAAATCTGTCGATGTGCCCTTGAGCAAGGCACTTAACCCTAATTGCTCCTGTAAGTCGCTCTGGATAAGAGCGTCTGCTAAATGACAACAAAAAAAAAAGGCCAGATTTATTGCTTCTTTAAATCAGCACAATATAGTTTTCAGCTCTGCTAACATCATTGCAAAAGGGTTTTCTAATGATCAATTAGCCTTTTAAAATGATAAACTTGGATTAGCAAACACAACGTGCCATTGGAACACAGGACTGATGGTTGCTGATAATGGGCCTCTGTACGCCTATGTAGATATTCCATTAACAATCAGCCATTTCCAGCAACAATAGCCATTTACTAAATTAACAATGTCTACACTGTATTTCTGATCAATTTGATGTTATTTTAATGGACAAAAAAAAATTGCTTTTCTTTCGAAAACAAACTTTTGAACGATAGTATATTTCTTAATTCCATTCTTTTACTTTGAGATGTGTGTATTGTTGTGAACTGTTAGACACTACTGCACTGTTGAAGCTAGGAACACAAGCACTTCGCTACACCTGACCAATAACATATGTTGGGGCAAACTATGAAGTGGAACACTTGCTTTCAAATACTACACTTGATCTTAGCCAAAAGGCAGAGATTTCCCCTATCCCATCATTTAAGATCAGGGTTTACTTCAAGGAAGAGAGTAAAAATGGAAGAATGCATTTTCAAAGAACTCAAACAGGGGCCCTTCATTAATTCCACCAGGCCTCTCACGAGGAGCCCGGTGTGAGGCCTGCTGGCGATAGACCCTGCAGCAGCGCCATCTGCCTTCTCTTGTCCTTGGCCCTGTTGATGGTCATCTTGAAGAGGCGGCAGTACAGCTCCATGGCGGCCGGTGTGTCATCATTCCCAGGCACCGGGTATGTCACCAGGCTGGGGTTGCAGTTAGAGTCCACCACCCCCACTGTGGGTATATTCATCTTGGCCGCATCGCGGACCCCCACATGCTGCTGGAAGACGTTGTTGAGCGTTGAGAGGAAGACGATGAGGTCAGGCAGCCGGACCCCCGAACCGTACTGGATGGGGGCGTTGGTGAGCAGACCACCTTGCCAGTAGCGTGTGTGGGCATATTCTCCGCAGTCCCCTGCCGTGCTCTCCACCAGGTGGCCGAACTGGCGGCGGCGGGAGACGAAGAGGATGACGCCGCCGCGGTAGGCGATGTGGGCGGTGAAGTTCAGGGCGCTATTGAGGTGCTCCACTGTCTGGTCCAGGTCGATGATGTCCTGGTCCAGACGACTGCCGAACAGGTAGGGCTCCATCAGCCTAGTAGAGAGGGAGGGAATGAGAGAGAGAATCAAGATCAATGTTTGTGTGACAATGTGCTCCTGTTCATACCTACAGTATGTTGTCTGTCTCTGTATATGAAACCTGCAAGGCATGTTGCCCTATGAAGATAATCCAGCTGGTTTTACTTTATTCTACTTTACTCTGATGCAAGAGGTTAGATAAGGACAATACGAACCACAATGAGAACGTAACCCAATGTGCAACAAATAACTGTCAGATGAACTATGAAAATCAAAGCCATCCAACCTGTGTCTGCAACCTTTCTTGTGTCCAAGGTGCACTCTGGCATCAAATAGATCTTTCAAGGAGAAGAGTTCTGACAAGCGGAAGAAATCTGGCGTTTCAAGAGGCAGGTTCTGGATCTTGCCAGTGACAGCTATAAAAACAATTGAGAAGTTAGTTCTTTGTGATTGTAGAGAAGCGTTGTGAATGCGTGTTAAACTAAATATCCATAGCTATAACAACTGTAAGATAGCAAACAGTACGTGTCACTGACAACTCTACCTACCTGTGCTGTCAGTTTGCAAAGGGAGTGTTTTGACTGCTGCAGCAGTCGCATAGAGCAGTCTACTACAGGAGGATCCGGCTGCAACAATCCGGGGCTGGCGGAACCCGCACAAACCTACAAGAAACCCACCAGCATAGTCAGTTAGCTAGCAGTCAGACGATAAAGACAGTAGCAAGCTACAACATTCAAAACATTACATTGTAACGTTGACCATCCAACTTGATTTGGATGTGTGATGCTACTGCTAGCCAACGTTAGCCAGTTAGCGTTGGTTGTGTTTAGCATTGGTTGTGTAATTGAATTGTCGGCCAATTAAAAACGAGCATAGGTTGTACAGTCTGGCAAGGTAGCAAAAGAGATGCAACATCTATTTCCTGTCATAATCATAACGAAAATATATTAATTGATTGTATAATGTAAATAAAATTTACCTTTCGTAAGCACTCCAGCTGCCATGCTTGCTCGTCCCCTCCCACTGAAGGTCAAAGATATATGCGAATGGTAGTTGAAGTCCATTGGATGTGTCTTACGCACTAGATCACATGTCAATAATTTCAATTGAACTACAACTCCCATGAGACTCATGTAGTTGAAAGCTTATTCAAAAACTTTATTGAATTGTAATACCACAGTTACAAACCATACTGTACTCTCTGGTAGCCTACATTATTTATTGTCAAATTCCAGCCAAATACTGTAACATCTGGATTTTTTGGATATGTTGATTTCATAACTGTGTTTTTTCAAAAGTATCAATAACTTATATTTTAACATTAATATGAATGTGATGTAGAAGTCAATCTATAAAATGTATTGAAATTGAAAATATTCTTCAACAACTCTCAATTTGACTATTGAGAACCCATAGCCTAATAAAAAAATAAGTTTATCCAAATATTAAACAAATATAAAAAATTCTAACATTGTTGAACAATAACAACAAAATGCAATTTCAACATAACCAACATAATTCAGAATCAAACAATTCACATACAACAGACAAACCCTCTTGACCAGTTTTCATCCACATGACTGTAAGTCACTTTGGATAAAAGCATCTGCTAAATGAGTAAAATGTAAATGTAAAAATGCATATACTCATTTAAATGTCTGATAAGAAATCTTGAAAGATATTATTGTAAAAAAAAAACATCTGTGTTTCTGCACTTTACTTCCCAGTTGATTTATTTATCCTGTAAAGCAAAATAATTCATTACACTCAATGAACCCTCCTTGTCTTCTAATTGAATCATGGCAGTGCCTACTCTATTTATCTATGTGTTATCTATGTATTGTGTTATCAAGTAGGTTAAATATGACAAGGTTTGACTGACAAAATGTACCTGGATAGAGGTAGAAATTGGAGCTTTCTCTTCACAGGTTTCTCAATCTTGGTCTTCTGAAAAAGAGCCCCCGAAATAATCCATTGTTAACAAACCAAGCCAACAAATCCCAATTGATCACAAACCTATTCCAGACAGATTGGAATACACTGTAAAGCCCCTTGCACACTGCCCATTACAATGCCTAATAAACTCCAACAAACGCATAGGGGCACACCCAGTGCTTAATTTGTCAATTGGGAGGTGCTGGAACAAAATGTGAGTTGGAGAGGGGGGTACCCTGGGGAGCTCTGAGGTACCGGAACACATAAGAAAAAACAACAACATTAATAATAAAGCATTTCATGCATTTCATCGCATTTGCGTAGTGGCATAGAGCAATAGAGTAGAGGCACTTACACATGTGGAACATTTTAGTTCTGTGAGATACAGGCGCGCTACTCACACAGCTATGGCCACGCATTGGTCTCAAACATAGCTTACAATGTTACAAAAACCATAAGCCCGGGCCGGCCCAACCCAAATCAACTCTTAGAATATCAGTCCCAGGCTGAAAACCGAAGAGGCAACTCAAATTAACTTTGATCTCTTTCATTTGAATTTTTACATTGCAAAAAGTGACCATTATTTTTCATACCATGAGAGGTACCGGATCCAGTCAAACAGATCCTGGAACAAAACAGTCCAAAACGGAGAGGTGCCGGCTCAAATTAAGCACTGGGTACACCTATCCAACTCTGTTTTTTGTTGGTGTTTGATTGGCATTGTATGGGCAGTGTGCAACTGTCCCTGTATGTCACTGTACCTTTGGCTGATTTACAGCAAATGCCTTATACATCCATCTGAACCTCTTGCTCCTTTCCTCTGTGTTCAATGCTATGTAAGGGCTGAGGGTGATACCAGGGTCAATAGAGCTGGACAGAGACCTGGGGCAAGGCAGAGCAGGGGAATAACCATCAGTTTATGTAGACAGACTGACTGATCTTTTACTTATTTTTTATTTCACCTTTATTTAACCAGGTAGGCCATTTGAGAACAAGTTCTCATTTACATCTGCAACCTGGCCAAGATAAGGCAAAGCAGTGCGATAAAAACAACAACAACACAGAGTTACACATGGGATAAACAAAAACATACAGTCAATAACACAATAGAAAATATATACAGTGTGTGCAAATGTAGTAAGTTATGGAGGTAAGGCAATAAATAGGTATTCAGACCCTTTGCTATGAGACTCGAAATTGAGCTCAGGTTCATCCTGTTTCCATTGATCATCCTTGAGATGTTTCTACAACTTGATTGTAGTCCACCTGTGGTCAATTCAATTGATTGGACATGATTTGGAAAGGCACACACTTGTCTATATAAGGTCCCACAGTTGACAGTGCATGTCAGAGCAAAAACCAAGCCATGATGTCGAAGGAATTGTCCATAGAGCTCCGAGACAGGATTGTGTCGAGCCACAGATCTGGGGAAGGGTACCAAAACATTTCTGCAGCATTGAAGGTCCCCAAGAACACAGTGGCCTCCTTCATTCTTAAATGGAAGAAGTTTGCAACCACCAAGACTCTTCCTAGACCTGGCCGCCCTGCCAAACTGCGCAATCAGGGAAGAAAGGCCTTGGTCAGGGAGGTGACCAGGAACCCGATAGTTACTCTGATAGAGCTCTCGAGTTCCTCTGTGGAGATGGGAGAACCTTTCAGAAGCACAACCATCTCTGCAGCACTCCACGAATCAGGCCTTTATGGTAGAGTGGCCAGACGGAAGCCACTCCTCAGTAAAAGGCACGACAGCCTGCTTGGAGATCGCCAAAAGACACCTAAAGGCTCTCAGACCATGAGAAACAAGATTCTCTGGTCTAATGAAACCAAGATTGAACTCTTTGGCCTGAATGCCAAGCGTCACATCTGGAGGAAACCTGGCACCATCCCTACGGTGAAGCATGGTGGTGGCAGAATAATGCTGTGGGGATGTTTTTCACCAGCAGGAACTGGGAGACTAGTCAGGATCGAGGGAAAGATGAACGGAGCAAAGTACAGAGAGAGATCCTTGATGAAAACCTGCTCCAGAGCGCTCAGGACCTCAGACTGGGGGCGAAGTTTCACCTTCCAACAGGACAACGACCCTAAGAAAACAGCCAAGACAATGCAGGAGTGGCTTTCGGACAAGTCTCTGAATGTCCTTGAGTGGACAAGCCAGAACCCGGACTTGAACCCGATCTAACATCTCTGGAGAGACCTGAAAATAGCTGTGCAGCAACGCTCCCCATCTAACCTGACAGAGCTTGAGAGGATCTGCAGAGAAGAATGGGAGAAAATCCCCAAATACAGGTGTGCCAAGCTTGTAGTGTCATACCAAAGAAGACTCGAGGCTGTAATCTCTGCAAAAGTTGCTTCAACCAAGTATTGAGTAAAGGGTCTGAATACTTATGTAATTTTTAAAAATAAAAAACATGTTTTTGCTTTGTCATTATGGGGTATTGTGTGTAGATTGATGGGGGGGGGGGGGAAACAATTTAATCAATTTTAGAATAAGGCTGTAACGTAAAATTTGGAAAAAGTAAAGGGGTCTGAATACTTTCCGAAGGCACTGTATTTATGGCCCATCTTTGTTGAGCAATATCAAGGTATGTTTTTAATATTGTTGAAGATACATTTTAAATATTAAACACCATATGATTACCTTTGTTGTTTTCTCATTAGTTCACATGTCCACAAATACATGCACAAACGCACTCATATTGACCATAAAAATCTTGAATTTAGTGTTAATGATTCACATACAGTATGTATTATAATTGAATTAGATAAGACATGCACCACTATTGATGAAATTCACTCTTTATTACACGGTTGCACTTTAAAGATACAGTCAAAGTTTATTTCTTCTGATGGGGAAAAGGGAGAAAAGTTCAATTTTTGCTAAATATTTATGAAAACTGGCGATGCACTGCATGTTCAGTAAAATTATTTTTTCCTCCTTTTTTCATAAACAAAAATAAATAATTTTCCACATAACAAAATTCAAGAAAACTACTAGAACATAAAACAAAAAACAACCAAATGGCAAGTCAAGAAATACGAAGAGCCTTCATGATTTTGTGTGTGCTGTTGACAGTTTGTTAGAGGGAAATCAACCATTGATATGGGCAATGTGCCTGATTGTAAAGAGGAAAATCTCTTCATGATAGGCCGCAAAAATTCGAAAAGTATTTGTATATTTTCATCAGACAGAACAAATATACAAAAAACACATGTAAAAACAGCATTTGTGACTGAGGTTAGTTGCTTTTGCTATTTTAAACAACTACTGACAGAACCCTTAAAGAGAACAAACAGAAATATAGGTCTACCTTATGCCAAGGGATAAACTGGCTTGTTATGAGAATATGATATGATACTTTTTTGTTTACATGCGTTTGTGCCATTAAAACAGGGGAAGACTATATTAGAATGTAATGAAAAGATTTTGGCCGATGGACAAATTAGAAGGAGGACAAGGGAACACACACACACACACAGGAATATTAGTTGAATACAGTCTGATGTATTTGCATGACAAAAATAAGTCCCTTCAGCCACTCATCCATGGAGCTACAAAACACTTCTACCTCAATGCTCCCTGTCAAATGATGTCTTCAATTGTTTATTTTTGACCCAATATTTTATTGTACTGACTACTCATATACTATATTTGGGTGGTTAGGCCTATATCTTTGGCCTGATAACTTTGAGAGGTCTTCGATTGGGTTTTGATATGTTGTATCTTGAAAAAAATGTCAGTGAGACATTGGTGAAACAAAAATAACCATCTCAGTTCCTGTCAGAAACAACCAGACACACAGCTGTGCATTAGGTGGTCCTACCATTCATGCACTCCGCTTGTTGTTTCAGGGCGGTGGCTGATATTGCTTTTAAGGGTTTCAATGATAAGAATGTAAAAAAAAAAAAAATCTAAGAGCACAAATGAAAAAAAGGAAGGTTTTAGTCTGAAATTCTCAATGACATTGCGTTATAGTATTTAAATAGATGTATAAAATGTACAAACATAAAAAGAGGCTTTGTGTATTAACAACAAACAAACAATCCGTTGGAACCTACAAACGAACAACTGTACTTGAATCTACATGATATCCACTAGGAAGGAGGGTACACTCAATAGGCTAACTAAGATGTAAAGATCTAACATAAAAAAAGGTTATGTGATGCTGCTATGTGACCTCACAAACAAGGAAAAGGCCTGCACTTACAAAGTGGGAAAGCCCTGCTTCTTCTCTGGGCTCGTCCTCTCATCTGACTCGCTGACATCGGTCTCATCTACACACTCCTCCTCTCCTCGTCTTCCTATCTGCTCTTCTCCTCTCTCCTCTGTCTTCCTGCTCTGCCTTTCTCTCTCACTCTCTCCTGCTGGCAAGTCTCTCCTCCTTTCCTCCTTTCCCTCGCTCACCTTCACCTCCCTGCTTCTGACCTGTACATGGTTGGTCTTGTTCGTGGACAGTTCGACAAACATTGTCTGGTCCTTGGCCACGTGTACCACGCTGCTCTCCGACAGCCCCGGGGTCAGGGTTGGGGATTGACCCCAGCGGCTGCCTGACCCGGACCCATGACCCTGAAGGAAGTACCCCCCTGATGGTCCCATCTCCGTAGGTCTCCTGGTCAGGCTGGGGAACGGGGAGCTGAAGACAGCAGCCGACGTAGATGTGGTCTCTGAGGATGAGGGGCGGTGGAAAGGAACCAGTGGTGATCTGATGCTGCTCCCAGTCCGTACAGCAGCAGGACGGGTGGAGACAGGTGTATCCGGTGCAGGTGCAGGTGCAGGTGCAATACTCCTCCTATGGGGATAGATACTGGCTGGTACTCCACACTGATACGCTGGAGTGGTGGCTGTCTTCTCACCGAAACTAGGTGAGCTGTACTGGAATGGGTTCCGGTTATGGATCTTCTCTTTTGTCTCAGTGGTGGGGATCGCTTGGCTCTTACGCCACGGCTCCGAGTCAGTCCTGGGCAAGGGGTAGCTGGTGCTGGGTAATGACCTGTAGCTGTGATCCCTTGCCATCTCAGAGTTGGCACTTTGGTGGGTATCAACGCTTCCTGAATCTGAACTAGATCTCCTCCTCTTCTCTGCTCTGGCAGCCCCAGACACAGCACCATCAACAGGCTCCAGAGCTGGAGGATACGAGCTGGGGGTGAGGGCTGAGAGGAGGCATGACCCCCTGGCTGTTTCTAGGGTGGGGTTGGGGTTGGGGTTTCCTGGCACTGGCTGGACAGGGGGTGTGTTTGGAAAGATTCTGCTGTCCGGAACTCCTCTCTGCTCACGACTGCTCTGACGAGGCAGGTCAGAGAATTGAGTAACGTCTATCCTTGGATTTTCAGCCAGCTGATTTTCCGATTTAGTTTTGCCCTTGCCGTTCCCGATCTCCTCTCTATCATCTGTTTTCACTGTGGTAGTAGAAACCTTGGCCTTTTCCGCCAGGAACTTTCTGATCTCCTGTTCGATACTGTCGTCGCTGTCCACTGAACTGCTATCTTCCTTGATCTGAACCACGACTGGGTTATTCTCTCTTGACAAGACTTCTACATCCCTGTTCCCTTGAGATCGGTCCATCTCATCTGCCTGGTTGAGTGGCTCTTTCTTCTCATTGCTCTGTGGATACTGTGACGCATTCTTACTAAATGTGCCTTTTTTTCTGTTGTTGTTCTGACTCTGGGCGGTAGTAGTAGTGACTTTAAAGCTAGTTTTCAAAAGGCTGGTGGTCTTGGGCTCATGCTTTTTTAAGTGTGATGTTTTTCTACACAAAAGCTCCTCATCCTCAAGGCCCTTCCTTGACTTCAACTTTATATCTCTAGTCTTCTTTTTCAACTTCTTCTTAGTCTTGAGCAAGTCTTTTATTGCATTGTCCAGGTCTTCGTCACTGTCCAGTGAGCTACTCTTGTCGCCACCCTGTTCCCTCCTCCTCTCTGAGTCCCTCACTGATTTCAGTGGGGCTTTTTTCAGGGAGGAAATGGATGACCTTGACCCTTGGTCATGCTTGGTCAAATGCTTTGGGACTGCCTCTTCTTTCATTTTGAGATCAGTCTCTCCTTCTTCCTTGGAACCCCTCCTGCTGCCACCTTCTGCTTTGCGCTTTCTTTTCTGCGTCACAGACAGCCTCAGTGTTTTCTTCTGGGCCGGACTCAGTTTGGCGTTTTTCTCTGGTTCTGTTGTTTTGTTGGTTCCATCCGGACTTGTAGTACCAACTGCTGAGCCGGGCCCAGGCGGCAGTTTGTGCATTTGGGCTTTCTTCTCAAGAAACTTCCGGATTTCCTGTTCGATCCCATCCTCACTGTCAATGGAGCTCTCATCATCACTTTTATTATCATTATCATCATCAGGGCAGTTTGTAGAGATGAGAAGAGAAGTAGTGGTGGTGGACTCCGTGGAGCTGCTGTTGATATTGATAAGGCCTGCTGCTGCTACGTTAGGGTTAAAGGCCTCTGGCATTTTAATGACAGCTTTAGAAATGTCCAGAATGGCCTCAGCACACATCAGCTCAGCTGTGGTGGTGGTGATGGTGTTCACCTTCAGGATGGCTGGGCCTGGGGTGGTGGTGATGGTGTTCACCTTCAGGGTGGCTGGGCCTGGGGTGGTGGTGATGGTGTTCACCTTCAGGGTGGCTGGGCCTGGGGTGGTGGTGATGGTGTTCACCTTCAAGGTGGCTGGGCCTGGGGTGGTGTGCTGCTCTTGCTCCCACTCTCGCAGGGGCTCCACTTTAGTCGACAGGAGGAGGCCGTTCCCTTTGGGGCTGCTAGCTGCTAATCTCTTCTTGATAAGAGAGAGTGAGGAACCAGGAGTTTGAGAGGGTGGAGATGATTTTAAATCGCTAGTCTCAGGTTTCTTATTTTTAGACCGTTTGCGTTTTTTCATGGCCGCTGCCTGAGTGCTTGTGCTCTCTGGACAGTGCAGGGGAGCCGCTACTTTACTCACTTGCTTTTGTTTGGGTTGAGATAGAGAGAGCTTGGGTACACTCTTCTCTTTCTGCTTCTCCAGCTGGTAGTGGCGGATAGCCTCCTCTATTCCGTCATCACTGCTGCTGGAGTCTGACTCCTCTTTGAGGAGGAGAAGGGGTTTGGAGGACTGTCTGCCTACATGTCTCTCTTTCTTCTTCTCCTGCTGGTAGCGTTGAATAGCCTCCTCGATGCCATCATCACTACTGCTGCTGCTGTCACTGTCAGACAAGTGTTCCTCCACATTCACTGCTTTCAGTACAGGACACTTCCGTTTGTCAGAGAGAGGGTTGGAATTGTAGGGGCCTCTCTTTTGTTCCAAAGAAGACTGTTTTTTTACCACCACTGTGTTGCTTGTTGTGTCCAGTTTCTTAAAGGGATTCTCTTTGCAGGTGGGTATCTTACTTTTTACACGTTTTTTCACGGGTGGTGGTGTGTTGTGTGTCTCTGTTTTGAGACTTCTCGGAACCTGGTTGCTGGCAGTTAAAACCTTATTGCTGTCGGAATGTTGTTTAGTAGGTTCCGGAAAGGTTGGAGGAGCCTCCCTCCGGGGCATCTTGGGTGGCTGTAAAATATTAGTGGCTGGCTCTGGCTCAGCCTTGCGTTTGTGGTCATCCTTTTCCTTCAGGTACTCCTGTATGGCCTCCTCGATGCCTCTATCTACAGAGTCATCGCCGTCAGAACTCTCCGAATCAACATTATAGGAAACTTCTGGCAGTGCCAGCAAGTTATCAGTGTGAGTGAGAGGAAGAGGGCCTCTGAATTTGGGCTTTGGTCCCATAACCACAGGAGGCCCCCTCCGGGCCTTGAAGCCTTGGCCCTGGGAGCCCCGGGCTCCAGCCTCCTGTACTGGTTGTCCTGATAGCACTTGGTTCCCCTTTGTCTCGTCGCCCATGTTGAGTGAGGACTGGGTGCTCCTTAGGCTCTCTATGATCATCTGGACCTTCTCTGAGATGGGTGTTCCGGTGGTGGACAAGTCACTGTCAGACTCATTGAAGCACAGGGGCAGACCGCTAAAGCCTCTGGGCAGACCGCCGCACGATGACCTCCATTCTGTGTGCAATGCCGCGACTGGAGGCAAGTTCATCAAGTACATTCTAGTGTGGTGCTGGGGTGGGGGTCTGGAGCATGGGAACACAGCTGCCTCAGACCACACTCACATCTTTACATCTGAAACAAAGAGGGAAACAATAAGAGAGAGAGTCAAAATACAGCTTTTGTATTCATATCATACTAACATACAGTATTTTTTATTATTATTGTTCAGATTTTAACTGTAGGCTACAGGCATAAAGGATGAGGGGGCACAAAGTATGTGAGGGGGGTGGTCCGGAGGGGAGCTCGCCCCCCCCCCTGTCCGTAAATTGAAGAATTTTGCATTATTCAAACACCTGAAACAGCCCCTGTGCCCCCTATGGGCATGACACCTCTGCTACCCATCATATTGGTCTTGTATTTCTGATTATGGACCTAGAAAGGAATAGAAAACCTTTGAAAAGTACATCACTGCTGAAATGGTCCTTTATTGAGTATCATGATTATTACAATGCTTTAAATTTATTTATTTAACCTTTATTTATACAGGGAATCCCAATTGAGTCAGGGTATAGGTACAGGGTATAGCTACAGCAATGCAGTAAGGGCATTGGCCGAAATTGGAAAAAATACCAAATCTGCCAGAATATGAATGTCTTATCACTCAACCAATTAGGTTATTCTACAGATAGACTACGTCATGCGCGAATGCACTGCATCAAACTAGCAGGTGTAAGGGGCGGTCATGTGTAGCGCGATACTCAAACCCGACATTCTGTATCTCTCCACTTTGTCAACCAAGGAGAGTGATAAACAACGTTGCCGACATCCCAGGCTGCAGTAGCCCGCTGAGAAAGAAGGGAGGGCTGCAAGCCCGGAGAAGACCAAGCCTAGGCTACTGTTTAATGAAATAACATACCACAAAAACTCAGATATTGTGTGGTCACGAATACAACGTGGATAGATGAGTCAATGTAACTTACTGTATAGCCAGTGTAGGAAGGTATAGTCACTATAGACGACAATCCATGTCCAAATGTGATAGCCGTCATCATACATAATAGCCGAGAACGACTTTTAACACTGAATCCAAAAATATTGTTACCATCCATACAAACTGTAAACGTTTAACGTTACCTGTGGTAACAACAGTAACATCCTCTGCAGATGGCTATACCTGATAAATAGGAACGTTTGCTTTCCAACAAAATCGTTCACGTATGTTGAGGGCATTGTCTCCGAATCTCAATGCCCTGGTTGTCGCAACGCCACCCCCGGCAGGCCCGTATCCCTCTAGCGGCTCGGGCTGCACTGATGCCCGGTGCGTATCAGTAGGAGACACCGCAGAGCAACCATGTTCCTCCGCTACCTGGCTACTGCTCCTTCAAACCCTCGCTTTATGTTGTCATCTTCTCAAAAGACACCGGTAATTCGACAATATTTTTCTCACTAATAACGATATTAATAGAAAGGTATAAAACAGGCGGGATAGGGGATCTCACTGAACATATTCCGTGTATTGAGAAATAAGATACTGGCGGGCCTCCACCGTAGAACAGGCATTTGTCTGCGAAGAAAACCTTTGTATTGTGCACCTCAACAACCTCTAAATATTAATTCACACGGAAGTGTAGGCACAAGACATATCAGCACATCAACTTAGTTCAATTTACCTGGTTATAGTTGGATCGCTCGTAGGGCCTACACGTTCATTTAATTTCCCTTGTAATTCTTTAGATTTCAGTATCCACACACAGAACTTACACGCGCAAACAGTGCACGGTCTCGAGCACGCCTTCCTCTCCACCTCCGCTTGCCAGGAAACCCGATATTAAATTGCATTGAATTCTATGTCAGGCAGAAATTAGCGTTTGAATCAGGAAAGTTCTCTCACGACCTCTACATGCCAGAATGTTGAATAAATTATATTTTGACGTACTTTACCAGTTGTCGGTGCTACACCTTGGCCAACTTCTTTAAAGGAACAGTAAAATAACATATAGCCTAGCTCTCAAAGTTCACAACAACTGACTGTCAGTAAGGACCATGTTAGCTTTACGTAACAGCTCCTCCTGATGTTAACCTAGAACCTATTAACCTACAAACCATTTTATATGATTAAGATATTATTGATATGGACAGCCAGGCATATTAGAGATTAGGCCTAATTAAATTAAAGTAGCCTATGATGTTAGAAATAATATCCATTACACAAATGTCATTACATATTACGAAATATTGTGGCCTAATGACATTTTGCAATAATTAGACCTTCTTAAATGTGAAAAGCACATCACAAAACCTCGAGTTACAGTAAATAATCTTAATAGTATGATAAGTTGATGGCACTTTCATTCCAACAAATATGTTTAATACAAAGCTGCAGGTCGAGACATTATACAGTTATACAAATATACATATTGTGCAGCTCAAATTATTAATAGTAGCCTTATAGAAGATAATGGGAAATCCTTGAGGTTTATAAGTTCACTTAAAAACTGACATACAAATGAATTTTCTACTATGTTCCATGCATTTACTGTAGGTTGATGAAAGTGACAGTAGCAAATGAATACTATACAGACAGTAAGCTATACTACATATTCTCTATCTGTAGTTGTTTCAAATACCACAAGATGGTGCTGTATGCAAAAACAAAACATATCTTATTTTCTTCTCTCTCATCTGCTCCCCTCCTAACCTCTCTCCCTCTTCATCTCTCTTCTCTTGCCCTCTTTCCCCACTCATCACCCTCACCCCATCTTCTCACCTTGCTCTTTCCCTCAGGTGCAGTTACACCTCAGGTTCAAAATACTGATACTTATTGTCTCAACTTGGATTGGTGTAGGCATGGGCAAGAGGAAGCTTCCCATTCCAGTCATTTCTTTTCAAATCCATGAAGGGAAGTGAACAAGTGCAAACTTCAGGAGAAAATAGATATTATGGGGATAGAAGGAGTTATGGGGACACAACCCTCTCTCCCTCTATCCCCTTCCTCCCTCCCTCCCTCCTTCCCTTCATCTTTATTATGATTCACTCTAACATGCTTCTATCACAGTGATTCTCAGTGGAGTTAGTTAATTTCTCTCTTTCTCTCTAATGAATCACTGTCTGTGTCCCAAATGGCACCCTATTCCCTACAAAATGCACTACTTAGCCCTCTGATCAAGTAGTGCACTTTGTAGGGAATAGGGTGCCATTTGAGACACAGTCACTATTTCACACACAGGCTTAAAATATCTTAAAGCTACAGTCTGGGATATGGGAATCTGTTTAATGGTCTTTTAAATTCTTCAATAATATAAAAAACATGCCTCATGAGTCATGACTCGTGAGCTTAGCACAGCCCTTGGATCTAGAGCACTGTCTATGAATTTGAGAGGGTTTACAAATAACTTTCTAAAATACCAAAATTCAGCATTTTGACATGTCCCTTCGTCAACCTTGTGTCACTTCTAGAAAGATTTAAACTAATTTAATCCCAAAATGTCTCAAAGTTTCACCATCATTGTAAAGCCCTAGTTATTTTCTTGCTTTGACAAAGTCATTTCTGAAAATTACTATTTATTAGTAGTTCATTTACGTCTGTCCCTCATTTTAAGGTCAACCCTGTTATGTGAACTGATCTCTCATTTAATATGGTGAAACTATTCCTTTTAAAATATTTTTTTTTCAAAAGAAACATTAACAAACATATAAACGCAACATGCAACAATTTCAAAGATTTGACTGAGTTATAGTTCATATAAGAAAATCAGTCAATTGAAATAAATAAATTAGGCCCTTATCACGAATTCAGCCGAGGCTGCCCCTCCTCCTTGCTCGGGCAGGTTTCGGCGTTCGTCGTCACCGGCTTACTAGCCACTACCGCTCCATTTATCATCACTCCATTTGTCTTGTCTTGTCTTGTCTTGTCAATCACACACACCTGGTACTCATTCCCTCATTAGTCTGTGTATAAGTGTTCCCTTTGCCCCCTTGTCCTTTGTGAGTGATTGTTCGTTGTGAGAGTGAGTAGCTCGGTTGAGCTACTCCTTACTTGTATGCAGCCAAGGTTGATTTTCCATTGTGCTAGTTTCGTTCTGTCGCCATATGCGCTATTGTACACTGAATAAACTCTTGATTTCGGTGTTTTACCTCCTGCGCCTGACTCCGTCATTCACACCTCATCACAGAATCACTCACCCGCTATGGAGTCAGCGGGAGAAGAGCACACACCTGGAATCGTGGCAAGGGTCCAGGAGCATTCCACGATGCTGGCCAGCTTGGGGGAAGCGATGGATCGGGTTCTTCAGGTCGTCGAACGCCTGGAGAGAAGAAGAACCGATCTGTCGAGACCAGCTGGTCAACCGGATCCAGCCACCTACATCACAGCACCCAGACGGATCCAGATATCCCGACCTTGGGCGTTCGATGGGATGCCGGCTCTATGTCAGGGATTCCTTCTCCAACTGGAGCTGTACTGCTCCAGTGTTAGGCCGGTGCCATCAGATCGAGAGCAGGTTTCCGTCCTCATTTCCTGCCTCTCGGGGAAAGCCCTGGAGTGGGCCAACACGGTTTGGAGAGAAGGAGGAGCCGCATTGGAGGACTACAGGGAGTTTGCCCGCCTATTTCGGGTGGTTTTTGATCACCTGGCCGAGGGTCGAGAGCGGGTGAGCAGCTGGTCCACTTGAGGCAGAGGACGAGGACAGTACAGGAGTTCGCGCTGGAGTTCCGGATCCTGGCAGCAGGGTCCGGGTGGAACGAGCGGGCCCTGATCAACCAGTTCCGGTGCCATCTACGGGAGGACGTCCGACGGGAGCTAGCCTGCCGTGACACCAGTTTGTCTTTTACCGAACTGGTGGACATGGCCATTCGTCTGGATAACCTGCTGGCAACCAGAGGACGTCCTGGAGGAGGTCTGCCTGTTCCCGCCCTGACCGACACGGATCCAGAGCTCATGGAGCTGGGTGGTACCGCGTACCGAGAGAGCGGAGGATGACAGCGCCAGTGCCACTCGGATGGCACAAAGGGACATTCCACCACACGTTGTCGTCAGCGCTCTTTTGGGTCAGGAGGCGG